ACCTTCTAACATGACAATTATCTGGGACTAGTTAAACAGTTACTCTGACACATGCAAAGATATTCAGATACACATGGGACTGTATTTGCCTATGACTGATCTTGGCCCTTTGGAAAACACTGATGCAAGGAGATGGTTTCAAGCCTCTAGATGATACAACCTGAGCATATATCCTTTCTCTAAGACAGAGAAAGGCAGACAAAGGTGGAAAAAAAAATCATCTAATAAAAGAATAATGGGCTGTTTTGGGCTAAACACCTAGGAAAATAATCAAAAGACAAAGTGGAGATCAGAAAGACAGACAAAGAGAAGGGCAAAGCTTCTTATGTAAAAATAGATTCATATATTTGTAATATTTAAATATTTTTTATAAAATCATTGCTCATATTTTTAGCCTCAGTCCTTTAAAAAAAAAAAAAAAAGACAACAGTCTAGAGGGTAAGTACATTTTAAATAACCCTTGCAGTACCAAATAACACAACCCCTTCCCGGATTCCCAAGGGGTTCATTTGGCGCTATCAACTAATCGGACAGTTCACAAAGAATTCCAACAGAAGAGAACTTAAAGGTGTTACAGAGTGAAATATATTTCTGGCAACACTGGGGGGAAGAGGGAAAAACTAAAGGTGATAGAACATAACAGGGTAGGTGTCAGCTCAAAAACTGCCTTTTGGCATTTCAGCAAAAGGCAGTGATTCTAATGAGGGGTGTCCCCAGCTATTCGGACCCAATTTGTGGACCAATAGGTGTGCTGGGAGGCTCCAGCTGACACAGACTGTTCTTACCCGGGCTAGCTCGGAGAACCAGCAAGGTTGTGGTGCCCAAGGGTCAGGTGACTTCCTTGTCAACTCTCTACAGTACCCAGGTTTGCTCAGAGGAAGCCTCCTTCCTGGAATGTCTCCCACAAGAGCAGAGCTGGCATTTCCTACTCCCTCTGGACCACTGTATTCTTTAGCCCCACCCAACGTGCTTGTAGCTCTGGCATGAAACTACGGATTTGGACCCCTGGCTTGCCTGTAGCAGTAATTTCCTAATAACACAATAGGTAGGTTTACATCCTACACTGACATTATTGATAAATGTAGCTTTTTCATTTTTAGGGGAAAAAAGATTGGAGTAGAGTAAAGCAAGGCAGAAATTGAATTGAAATCCTCCCCCTACCAAAGATCACATCTTGGGGTAGTGGTAAACACAGAGAATGCAGTAAGATCTATCAAATTGTGGGAAGTATACATTATTTACCAATACCATGGAGTTCATCTTCAAAAATATCTCCCCTTCCCCCCTGGGCCCACTCGTTGTTCCTTACCAGACAGCAAAAGACTTCAAAGAGGTGGAATTCCCAACCAATCCAGGGAACCTTGTTGAGGAGCTTGCTCAAGATGTTCTGGGTATTTTTGCTCTTAGAGAGTTAGGTTATTTAAGAAAATTGTTCTCGGCATTTAACAAACTGACTTGGATCCCAGCCATGCTAATCATTGCTTCTCTCTAAACCCAAAATGGAACCTGAGTATGTGCCTCATTCTCTGCTTTTGGAAAATCAGGCTCTAATTACTTAGGTTATAAATATGTTTTCAGGATTAAATGAAATAATATACATGAAATAAGAGGTAACGTATCCAGTGCAATGAATAATAAGTAGGTAACATTCTTATATCACTTAAGTAATTGAAAAGTCAGTCCTTGAACAATTTTTTTTCCATCATGAAGGACACATATATTTTATCTAAGGATATTAGAGAAGATACTAGAGGAAAGTAAATTATACACACACAAATACCATCCTCACAGGGTATTGTCATGAGTAAATGTTTGAACCTCATGTGAAACTATTCTCTCTCAGGCCAGAACTTAATATTCTCAAGTCACACTGTATAATTACTTGAACTGTTTATAATCTAGAAAAGCAAGGATTCTGGGAAATAAATTCCGGCCATTTTGTTGCTGAGAGACATCCACATCAGAGAATGAATGTCACTGAAGAAGAAAACTTAAAAATTATATTAAAACAGGCTTTCTCTCTGTCAGCCCTTCAGTTCATTTTTGTGAAGGACAGTTCATTTTGTGGAGGACACTCCAGCTGCATTTTTCCTCATTTCTCACAGCTACGGTGCCATTTAAGATATGCACCTTCATGCCTTTGCACTAAAGTAGCATCAAACTCTATCCCCCGCAAAGGTAGTTCCAAAACACAAAAGCTATGAGGAGCCATCTGAGGACTTCCCACCTCCGCCTCCCTCCTTCATATAAATGGAAACATTTCCATGTGATAATATATCTATTATAATATATCTATTACTGTTGTCCCCATGGCCATCACATGCCAACTGCTGAGAGCGCGACTCTTGAAATTTTCGGAGAGCCATTGAGAATGAAGACACCCAAGACCTAAACAACATGTTCTGAACAGAATGTTCCATTTCAAACTTCAAATCCAAAAGAACATGGTCACAAACTTTTAACTTGTAAAATGCTCTTAAACGTACAACTTTCTACTGAACAACCATGCTCCTTTGCTAAGACTGCCAACAGTGATTCATGTTCTGAGAGTGTTAACAGCCACTCCAATGGTCAGAAAGGTGGCTGGGACAGAACAGCAGGGCTTGACAGCTCTGGGTTGAACATTAGTAAGCTCAACTCTTCCGGAAATGCCTCAAAAGTCTATGATCTATAGTCATTTCCCTCTTTGTTTAGGCGTGGCCTCACTCACGGAGCAGGGCAGAGGATTTGTGCAAGCACAGGCATGAGGAAGAGACTGAGCCAGTCCAGGCCCTCCCATTGTAGCAACTACACTGGAAGTGTTCTCTGCACGTGCCCTCTCTGGATCTTCCGGAAGGCATAAACAGGAAGCGTCTATTTAAAACTGGTTATTTGGAAACGAAAAACAAAAAACAAAAAAAGCTAGTGTTCTCCTGGAAGTGAAGTCTAATAACAGGATAATATGATACCTGTTAGCCAGAAAATGAAAATTTTAAGGGATAGATTATATCCTTCAGCAGTATTTGGAAACTTGCAAGAATCCCACAAGTTCAAACAAGAGCTGCTCAATAGAACTTTCTGGAACAATGGCAATATTCTATGTATGTTCTGTCTCATATGAGCACTTGAAATGTGGCTTGCCTGACCAAGGAACTGAATTTTGAAGCTTAAATCTTATTTAAATTTAATTAATTTAAGCCAAAATGTAAATAGCAATACACGGCTAGTGGCTACTATCCTGGACATTGCAAATTTAGAACCATCACTCAAAGTTTCCCGAGCATCTTTACACGGTGCTTAATTTTCTCAAAAACCACTCTACCCAGAAACAGGTATCAAACATGTGTGCGAATACTGTGACCACGTGATCGCAAAATTAATGTGAATTAAAAATCAATACAATATCTCTACCAGTTGAGCCTATATCAAACAACATGGTTGATCTATGGGCTTTTTGATGTCTGTTATGGCCTAAAGAGTAAAAGAGGAGAAAAACAAATGAGAAAAGAAATTGTCCATTGCTGGTCTATTTTGCAATCAGTGTGTCCCTGCACTTACAGTATCTGTAAGTCATAAGAGAAACCAGAATGCAGAATGAAAACCAACAACAGCAACAGGGAGGAATGCTTGATGGAGAGGGGACATAGAAAGGATTAAAAGACAGTGACCTTTCATTCCTGTGACAGTTGAAAATAGGAAGTACATGTGCCAGCAATCAGATAAAGTGGAAGGCTGATAAATTTTAAAACGTATTTTTGCCAGCACAGTAGAATGCATCCATGGGACCCAATAATTCCGAAGCTTCGAGGGCCCTTAAATATCATCCACTTCAAACTCTCCTGCAGATAAATAATTGGAAGCCCAGAGAAGCGAAGAGCTCAGTGTCCCTGAGATGATAGCCCAGCTCCATGCCAGATATCTCAGTCTGTGTTCTCTCCACTACAACCTTCGCTGTGGTTTTGGTGAACACAGACCGAGCCTTGAATAGAGAAAGGGCTTCATCTCTAGCCCTACTTGTCCAGCCTCGACGGCAAGCTGGTGAGCAGAAAATAAAGGGTTTGAAACACACTGCTCTGCTAGACACCAATGTTCCATTCACTAGCACAGCAGTCCTAAAACCCATGCAATTTACACAACTGACCAAGACCACTATGGAAAAAGAAATTACAATGCACAAATGTATTAAAAGAATGCTTTGCATTGGGACAGTTTTTCAGTTTAGCATGTATTTGCTATAAAAGTGGTTTGCACTATGATCAAAACATATGTGCCTTTAAAAGAGCCAGGTCCAAATTTCCAAAGCAAATGACCTCTCATTTGCTTTTGGTGACTCATCAGGACGTGAAAAGATAATAAGATAGAAGCAAACAATCATTTTAAGGAGCAAAAACAAATAAACATCTTCTTTTTAGAGCTAGAACTTAGATATCTAACTCAAAATTCTCCTTTTACAGGTAAAACAACAACAACAAAACAAAACCGAAAAAGCAGATTTTAACTGACTTGTTTCAAGTCACACAGAGAGTAAGTAAAAGAATTGGGACTTAAGGACCAGGATTTCTGTCTCTGGGTGCAGAGCTCTTTGTTACTCTAGAAACCACAGTAAGACAGAGCTCTACAAACTAGAAAAAGAAAAGAAAAGGATAATTATCCTGTATATGTCATTGCTGTTTTCAGATGTCTGTTTTTTTAATTTGAGTTATACTTTGACATAAAATGTCCCATGCTTTTTTCTGTAATCACCTACAGTATTGATGGAGGAAAGAAAATTATGTAGCTAGAAAATTAAGGAGCTATGTAAGAGATCCAGGAATAAACCCACTTTACGGCCCAGATTTTATAAACTTTCCTGGTCTTCAGATAATCTTCTGCAGATAAATGCCACACACAGCTGATAAGTGCAAGAGATAAATAACACTGCACATTTTAAATGTCATGTACTTTGAATTTTATAACATGCTCTCATAAATGAATCCATAAGAGAAAAAGAAAATGCTAAAGAAATACGGTGATGGGCTTACATTCTTGTGTTGCTGGTCTTGTTGATGATAACAGATTTCCCTGTTTGATCCACATTGTGATCCAGCCCAAAGTAAGCCGCCACCCGATGGACAAGCATCCTCTGATAGGATGACATCTGAGGGAACTTTTTATAATGATTACTGGAAAGGAATACAAGAAACAGTGCAATCAGCATTTGCGTTTCTGGCCTGTAGGACCGTCTATAGGTATGCACACAAACCCATTCCTTTGTCATCCAAACCATGAAGCTTAGCTCATCTGTGCCATCACACGTCATGTCCTCATTTCTAGACAATTTTCCACTTATGATGGATTTATCGATTAAGCTACACTAAGTATCTTTGTTTCCCAGTTGCACATTTCTCACAGCAAAGAGAACTTAATGTCTGTTGGAGAATATCCTGTTGTAGTCCATGATACCTTATCAACGGAGCTAGGCTTGGGACAAATGATATGACATAGTATGTGACTGCAGATGTCTATCTAGAGATGTGTCATTACACGGTTTACACTGAAAGCAGCATAATTATGACCAGGCATAACTGACTGCAGCCAGCTGGAGCCCATTAAAAAACTATAATAAAAATGAAAAGGGTTGCTTCTTGTCACAGCTACTCTATGCTAATCAGCGGCCCCCTGTTTATAGCCATTTTGTCAGGAATTTAACAAGCAGGAGCACACATGGTCCAAGCAACAATTCCCATCAATATATAGCTTCTAATCCTAATAGCGTCTCCATTTAACAAATCGGCAAACATATTAAATAATGTTTTATCTATCCCTAAATCTTTCCAGAATGAATAATTAAACCCAAATACCAAATTAAGTCACATCGTATAAATTAATCAGCACTGCAGTATAACATACTTGTTGTCACCAATGAAATCAATAATTTCCTGCTCCATTTTCAAGAGTATCATCCTGTCCCTGCAAAATAAATGTTAAAATGAAAAAGGTTGAGGCACTTGCCACCCCCAAAGACCTAAAGAGTTCATTTGCACGCCTGAAAAAGATTGATTAAGTGTATGTGATGAAACATCTTTACCTAACTCTTCTCTAGAGGATGCTGTCCATATGCACGTGGTTTCTTTCTACTGAAGATTACTTCTCATCTCATTTATTAAGTATTTTGTAACGTTGAAATTTCTGCGGTTTTAATGTTAATTAAGATACATAGGTGTCAAGCTCATCAGACATATCGAATGCATTGTTTATTTTAAATTAATAAGAAACTGGAGCAAAGTCAAGCCCCAGTAAATAGAGAACTGCAGTAGAGAATGATCGGTTTATTTGACATTGACTCTCATTCTCTATCTTTCTCCCCTTAATCAGTATCTCTTTGTGACCAGGAAACCAAGCCCTGCAAACTGTAATTTATTCATCGGGTGACTACCCAGGAACTAAGACTATCTATACACAGTAAACATGCAAACTACTATATATACGTAAGAGATAGTTTAAGATATTAGAAAAGGTGCCTTCAATGTACAACTCTATACTTAGACGTGCTCGGACTCATGACTTTGCAGTATTCTACGTGACTCTTCTAAAAATACGAGGTTTATTTAATAATTTACCTGGAATTATTCTTTAAAGTGTTAATCAGAAACTCATGCAAGTCTATGCCAGTAGAATCCGTGTACTCTTGGCTGCAATCTGAAACAGATAGCAGGAGGGGATGGTCAGGAATGCAGGTGGGGAAGTAGGGTGGAAAAGGTTTCCCTCTTGCTGGGTAAATTTTAGGTGAAGCTATTGGCATGAAGGTACATGTTTCAAAAATAGCGAATTGGCAGTGTAACACCGGAATGAAAACCAGATTCGAGATGGAGGAACCCAGTAGATCCTGAATGTGGAAAGATCCAGCTGTCACAGAAGGGGATGTGGGCATGGTCGGGTAGGAGGTGGGTGGGGTGGAATGTCACGTGTCCATGCCCTGCTGTCAATCAGCAAGGCCGGGCCTCCACATGACAGGTCCTACCAACCCACAGAGAGAGCTCTCAAGAGTTTGAGATTCCAGGAAACCCTTTTTCTCTTAAAACAGAGAAGGCAAAAAATGAAAGTTCTGTGACAAGACTGTCTAAATATTCATCAGTACAAAACACAGGAGGGCACTAAACATTTCCGAGTCTTTCACATCTTCTGATGCTGGCTAAAGCTTAATTTCTAAAGCCATCTTAGGAATCTGCACTTCTTTACTCCCGTCACACCTTGGGTTTTAGACATTCAGTAGCAGAGATAATCATTATAAGCAGAAAACATGGTTACAGAGCGTAATATAAGCAGTCATCATTCCCCAGCTGATTGGATGCCCTGTTCTTTCTCAAATATTTAAAAAAAAAATGTCTACTGCAATGCTATTTATTCATAGTATTCCTCCTTTCAACTTAACTTAGTTTTGTTTTAACACTTGTTACCTTTTTTTTTCTTTTGGTTTTATTTTTGTACAACTGTACAATTGTACATTTGTATGTATGGCCACAATTGGAAAAGTCTGGACTACGGGCTTCGGGTTTTAGAAGATATAGCTTCTTTTTTTCCCCTTGGAAAAATTTTATTGGAGTAGAAGTGTATATTTTTCAGGTGAGACATGATGTGGTGGTTCTGTGGGTTGTGGAGACCAAATCCGTTTGTGGCAGATACAATGTTAATCACATACTCCATTGACACTGATGTATATACATCTGGGCTTTGAGGACGACATCACTTATCAGCTGTGAATTGCTAATCTACTGTCTGTCTTTTAAGAGAAACATAGAAGTTAAGATATAAAACTGGGTATCATTACTGTTCATCAGCCCAAGTTAATGGGACTAATAAACCTGAATTAAAAGCAGATTTATACTCAGTCGTTTGTACAAATTTATCATTGAAAACTGAAGACCTGAATGAAAATCCAAAGAGATTAGTGATCCTAAAATTAACCTTTCTGGATACACAAATAATGACAGCATGAACAGAAAGGAAATAGAGTTAACATCTTTTACACACACACACACACATACACATATAGAAGTATATGCAGAGTTTGGTGTCCGGTGAATATGTGTGTAAATCTAGGATGTACTGTGTGACTATTTATCTGTCCAAATTCAGTAAGTTAAGGAAACATGTTTACATTCACCTTTTGATAACATTCTGATCTTGGGTTTTTCAGAGGTTTTATCTTTGTTTTTATCCTTTTCTTTTTCTCTTTCTGAGTCATCTTTCCTAGATTTATCATCCTCTTGCAGGCTGGGAAAACTGGAAAGCTGTAAATGAATTGATTCCTGTTGGGGAAAAAATATAATAATTTAGGGCCAGATTTAAGAATCTCTGTCTGGTTTCCATTTTGCATAGAGGTTATTAAGTACAGGAAAATGAAAGCCAGGAGCAGATTTTTTTCTTTTCTTAAATGGTTAAAAAAAAAAAAATTAAACCTGTCAGAAAAATAATTGCCCTTTAAGGTGAATTAAACCTCAGAAGTCAATGGGAGGTCATGAGAAACATCTAGTACTAAAACTTGGCTTCATGAATATTAACATTAAGCAAGTTACTTTCCACTAGATCATACCTCTTATTTTCTCTACAGGTTTATTTTTAAACACTTAGGAAACATTTCCTTATCAGTAAGTTTGCGTCACAGCCACTGCCATGTCTCAAAAAAAGAAAAAAAAAAAGCCTTCTGAGTTCTTTTCTATAATTCCTTATAAGGAGAAATCTGCACAAACATAGACAGACAGGTATTACGAATCATAATTACAGATAGAACAGACATAAAGGCCTTAATAGCCAATTTACAATAAAAAGTCTGTTTTAGAACCACATCAACAATAATTTCTACTATTAAGAGAAACCAAGCTATCTAAATGCAGGAATCCCAGGTATGGATGATTATCACACCTTGTTCACAAACTCCATCAGTAAGTCATCATAATGTATGGTTAGAATCAGCACTGTCTTTCAGAAAGCAAAACTATATTTCCCATCAATTACATATAAATATTTAATATTATTTTAATTTTTTATCAGGCAATTCTTTCCAAAATGTAAAATTGTCTTGAACTGATGCTTTGGTTCGCTACTGACTATTTACAGTATTGGCACTGGATCCATTTTTGTATTTATTTATTTTGCACTGGAGATAGATTATTTTGTTTTAATTCACATATCAGCCATGTGGTTGATAGTATGTTCACTGTTTTGAAGAAGAATGAACCAAATCGTATTTTTAAAGAAGTTTTATGAAAAAAACCTATGCTATGATTAAAAACTATGACAAATGAACTGACGTTAAGCCATTAAGCCTGCTTTCTCTTATGTAAGAGATCATTTGATGGGAAAGCTTTTTTCTACTAGTGACATTAAAATTTATGATGTTAAAAAAAATTCCCAATGACTAATAGTGTTTCTCACTAAAAACTCAACTAAGTCTCCTATACATGTGACTAAAGCAATGCCTGAACATCCCTCCTCAAATATGGCCATCCTAGGATTTTTAGGGTTCTTGGTAAACATGGCTAATCTAACAAGCATCACACAGGTCCCCAGAAACCAAGTTTGTTTTTTAGGAGGGGCTCCGTTGTGAACTCCAGGCTGGAATAAAAAGGCACCAGGGCTGGAAAGACATATGATAGAAAGGACAAGATAAAGCATGTTCTCATGACAAATATTTATCCTTGCCAGATTTCCTGACATCCACGTGTTTATGCTGGGGACGCACTTACGCAAAATACGTAAAACGGTGTAACTTGACTATAGGTTCTTTGGTCATGTGATTTGGGACAGAAATGTCTTTAGTCTGCAAAGGTTCGGGCAGACTCTAAGGTTTTGATTTTTTTCTGCTTTTGCTAAGGAGACCGCTGCAGCATTTCTGGTTCAGAGAATACAGTTGGGGGGGCGGGGGAGGAGAATCAATTCAGCAGTTGATGAGGAGGGGAAACTGAGGGCACCAGCCCATCGGAGTGGTCTCATTGCTTCTTCAAAACCTCTTGCATCACCCAGCCTCTGTCAGTTTGAATCTACAATCAAAGAGGCTTGCAGCAGAAATATAAGAGCAGAGGCTAAAAGACATCTTCCACCAGAAAAAAAAAAAAAAAAAGTACAAACTCACGCCATGTGTGGACATTTACTATTCTCAGAAAAATACCTATCTTTTCTATACATAAATATACATTATGGTGCTGAAAGAACACACAAAAGTGCTATAGAGTTGGTAAAAAACAATCTGTTATTTTTTAATATTTTTATTGATATGCTCAATAATAAAATACAAGTGTTAATAAATACATTGGTACAGGATAAGTTTATATCCAACAACAATAAAAGAATGATTCAAGTCACAGTAGTACACTGGTAGGTAAATAGTATAACATTAGAAAAGCAAAACTCCTTTAACTGAAGGACAGACTGAACCATCAGCTATGGGTCTGAGATCAAGTAATACAGGTAGCAAGAGTTTTTCCCACACAGGAAAATGAAGGCAGTTTTCAAATACTGTGAATATACAAATATTACGGAAGCAATACAATCCATATACTGTATCCTTCTGCCAGGGTTCTCTGGGATTCAGTTCCCACATTTGTAAGTGCCCGTGGTACCTAATGAAGGCATTGCATATATGCTCAAAGGTCTGCTTCTTTATTCTCTAACAAGTCGCATGCCCACTCGCTAATATGTGTGCCTGGGTATTTTCTATCGGCCGCCTGGTCCCACCACCCCTCAGCCAGTCCAAAGAGAGGAGCGCAAGTTCTAATCCTCTCCTACACAGCTAGTCTTGGTCACTGAGCGTGAAAGCAGCAGGAACAAAGCACCAACTGCATCTTATTTCTCTGCACCAATTGTATGGAGAAACTACTTAGGTCCAGGACGGGCACTATGATACAGATGACCTCTTAAAAAATTTCCTCCTGGTACCTTGTCAAATGGGATGAAAAGCAGATTAAGTCTATAAAGGCTGTCCTCCTCTGCCTGGTATTAGGAGTGGGGGACAACTGGGGCATGACGTCTCCCAGAGTCTGTCATTCCGCAGAGTTAACATATATCCTGTATAGTACATTATAAGCCATCAATCGACATTTAATAATACAAGCCATGAGAGTCGCATTTGTCCCCCTTTTCCATCTCCATTAAAAATAGAAGCACAAATAAAATGCTGAAGAAAAGCCACACATTTCTCAGAGCCCAAGGAAAATAAAGCTTGTGTATGAAACATAGTGATGGATAGAGAAAGATAGCCTGTCCATGCCTTACGACATGAGTGGCACAATAAGAAAATGAAGCTAGGGAAAAAAAAATACTCATAGGACAAAATCTATAAGGTATTTATTTTTGGTCCTTTTAAAGAAAGTGCTCTCAATGCTCTCTGCCTCCATGAGGAGAATTTAGAGTATTTCAATTAAAGTAAAAAGAGGAAAGCAAACAAGCCCAAACAAAAATAATATCTTGATCAATTTTCTCTCCCCTGGGCTCAGATAAATCATTTTACTTTTGTCTTGACTTCTCTCAGCCTCTGATAAAATAAGGAAAATTTCAGCGGCTAGACTATTTTTATAAAAGTGAATACAATGCCTAAAAGGCAAACAAAAATAAATATGATATGAAGTCCCCAGTTGGTCACGGGAGGATTTTGTCAGAATTTGGATTTTTCAGACCCTAGTAGTCTTGCTGAGAGCAAAAATAAGTGGAAGGATCCACAGCGATATATAATAATATTAAATTCATATAAATTGAATAATATGAAATTCACCATCACCTCAGATTCATTTCTGGACAATTTTTCAGTATTCAGAATCTCGACCAAAGGCCATAAAGATAAGTCTACAAAGCTCAATGCACCTTATTCACTACTTCCAAAGTTTCGTTAAGAGCCAAGAGTTGTGTTTCTTATAGGCAAGTGCATTTTGGGGAAGTGAGAGGTAAGAATCTCCAATAAGGAAGGAGACGGGGTACTTAGAACTATATTTGGTTCAGTCTTAGCAAGAGAGAGCCTTTGAGGAAATGCAGCACTACTGTGCTCGCTTTTTAAGTTTTTTATCTAAATTCTTTTGAATTCCTTTCCATTTGCAGTTTTCAGAGAGTCTGGAAAAAAACAAACGTAATACTCTGTGACAAACTGTTAAGCTAGTTTAGGACGTCTCGTAAGCAGGGGATGAAGCCAAAAAACTACGTCTTTCTTTGCTTATTTTTTTTCTCCCCCAAAACACTGTATAATGCCGGATTTCTACTCATGCACACAAAGACAGATCCCGTTCATGCAGTTAAGGAAAATGACAGGGGGTATATACCTGATCCTGAAGACTTTCACCTCCTGGTCTAGCAGATTCTTCACAGACAGCAAGACTGCGAGTCAGTTTACCTTTTCCTGCTCCTGACTGGGGAGGGGAAAGAAAAGGCAATGCAAGGAAAATAAAGACAACAAACAGAAAACATTCTCTGGCTGTCAACTCCTCTCCACCTGCCCAGGACATTCCCAAACCCGGATCCCTCCTAGAAGAGAACTTCATATTGGCTGTTCAGTGCTGTCTGTCTACACTGGCTCCAAGATTCAGAGCCCTGCGTGGGTGGGGATGCAGGCAGAGGAGAGTGTGAATGTGTGGACTTAAGGGGCACTTTGAGCAAACTCTGCCCATCCCGTCGGAAACGTACAAAGAAGGAATTGCTGCCATTTTCTGAAAATGTAAGGAGAAAAAGATGACACAAATTAATTTCTACCAAAACTGAGTTTGGGAGGGATCCAACTGAAAAGATGTTTAGGATGAGGAAAGGGACCTAAACACCAGCACCTGTTTACTTCAAGGGAGAAATCAACTGGCGAGACTAACACATCTACCCCAGATTTTATTTAAAATGAAAGCAAGACAAGCGGCTACTCATTTTGTAAAGCACCGTCAAATCTGCAGTTCTGAAAACAGGATCAGGTACATAAATTTGTGGCTATGTGAACCCTAAATGCTCTAGCTCAAACATACAGAGCGAGAAAGACAAGAAGTGTCAACAAGACCCCATTAAAAGGGGAAGGACCAGTAGAGCCAAGATCCACACAGGACCATTTGAATTGGTGACAAATCTTCTAACCCCAATGGGAAGTATGCTACTGATATCCATGTTAGCAGATCAATGTGGAATCTCCAGAACCCTACCTTGGATTTTCTTCTTTCTTGATTCTGAGCTGCCAGCCGCCTCTGTATGTTAGAAAGAAAGCAAAACAAACAAACAAACAAACAAACAAACAGTAAACCAACAACCAGGGGGAGAGGGTGAAAGAGAGAGAGAGGAAGTGTTACTAGAGTCCAGAAATCAATAGAAACAAGAAGGTATTACAACCATTGGAGAAAAGTTCCCCTTCCCTCGCTCCCCCAAACTTTTGACCTTCTAACTCTTAGCTCCTTTTCCTTATAGCAGCTATGGGAGAAGGGGGGAGGCAGGGAAGTTGACCTTGAAGGCTTTGGCCATTATGTGGTTATCTGCCTTTGTTCACTGGAATATAAAGAGTTAACGCTTTTGTAGTTTGGTTCAAAGAAAATCAATACAGGCTATTTGCAAGTACAGTTTGTTTTCCCTCTCCCAAATCTCTTGCTCTCATAAATCATGGTGTATTTAATCATATCACCTTTTTGGTACCATCAATCACCCCCAATTCCCTCCCCTGCCCTTCTCTGGGGTTTTCTCTGTCTCTGTCTCTCTTTTTCTCTCTCTTTCTGGCTGTGAATTCTAGGGCTTAGGTCTGTTCTAATATGAATTGAACCTTTGCCTGCCCTCAGAGGTCCACAGAGCTCAGGTCTTTGATTTTTCTTTGTCTGTCCTGAGCTGGGTCTTCAGCTTTCCCTGGAATAGCAAATCCATTTTTAAAACTCAGCTAGCCTAAAGCTGCCTCTGGGAGAAAAGCTTCACAAGCTCCTTGAGGTGGTCTGGAAATCACTCTGGAGATGCTGTGCACAAATTCAGTCATTAAACATGATCTCTGGTGATTTTGTTCATCTCCAAGGGATTTTAGAGCCTCTTTTGGTCAGGAAAAAAAGTGATTAAGAATTAGAAAAGAAGAGGAGTGGCTTTATGGATTTCCTATTCATTTACTAGTCAAACTCTTAAATGGGAAAAAAAAAAAAAAGAAAGAAAGAAAGAAAGAAAACCAACGTTCAAAGTATTCTGCATATGAAAGAGAGGAATGGTGCCCAAGGTGCGAGCTAGGGCAGCAGACAAGCTTTCCAAGCTCACCTGCAGTTCCAGCTTCTCCTCTTCATCCAGACTCTCCGATTTCACAATCCCGTTCTCTGGAGTGGCCGATTCCTGCTCCGTCCCGCCCTCCTCCACTACTGCCTGACTCAGGTCTCCTGGCTCAGACATTCTCCCAGACGCAAATTAAAATAACAAGGTGTGATGCCCTGCAAGGTTAAGAAGTCAGAACGTAAAGTCAGTGCACGGTGAAGCACTTCCAATTATTTTCACGGTATTTCATTTCTCCCTTTGTATTCAAATTCAAACGAGCAACTCTGGCATCTCTGCCAATTTTACAGGAAAGGCGAATAAGAAAGCCAGATCAAATCCCGAACGGGAGGCAAACGCACGAGGCAGAATCAGTCGCCTCATCCACACCCCCTCCGCACCCATACACGCACTCTCGCCAATACACCTTGCCATCGAAATGGATCCACAGATCTTAAACGGAGACACAGAACTCCCACGTGTCCACCGGTCCCTAAGCCCCGGCATAAAGGGGAAGAAGAAGAAAAAGAGAGCACTGCTCCAACTCCTGGAGAGATGACCCTCCACTGCTGAGGCAAGAGGGGGGACTGGTGTTCTGCAGTGTGTCTGAGATGATTCAAAAATTATCTGCAAGTTTCAACCCACAGACATGCTCTCCTAAGGCATAAGGAGTACCATGTACTCTACAAGTAGGGGCAAAAATCAATTTAAGAGCTAATAATTCAGTATAAATATAAGATCTAAATTTGGCAATAAACCTTTCAGGGCCAACATTTCCAGGCTTCAAACTGACAGCTACATTATTAAAAGCAAGAGTGCTCTCCAGAGCTCCTCGCAGTTGCTGGTGTTACACAGACCCTGGGAAGGCAGTCTCTGGCAGGCAGCTCTAATAAAGCTATAGCCACCGAAACCCGCTGCTCCAGACCCACACAGTACACTATGACACAGACGCTGGAAATGGCTTTTCAAAGTTAAAGCCTGTTATTATTTTTTTTTTCTCCCTACCTCCATACAACCCCTGACACTTCCCCTTCTGATATGCTGTCAAATGAGGTTCATGAATAATTTAGCATTTACTTCCTCCTCAGTTTTTTTTTTTTTTTTTAAAGGGGGGGGGGGAAAAGGGGGGGGGGAGAAAGGAAAGAAATACAGAAAGAATGAAAGAAGGAAGAAGAAAAAGAAACACAGTGTGACCTAGAAAGTCAGTTCTTCCACAGAAAATTCCCAACCGATGACTGCCCTCTTCCCAGTCAATCAAATGGTAATGATTACTGGACAAGTCAGGGATAAGTTTCTTTGGGAGTGTTTTATTACCATTTACTAATTCAGTAACTTTATTTCCAACCGGATATGGGGAGGCATGAGAAAAATCTAAACCACGGCGATTTCTGTTGTAAATTTGCTAAGATCTACCATGACAGAACAGATGGTATCTAATGGTATCTTTAAAAAACACAGGCTTACTTGGCAAAGGATTATGGGAGTGTAAAAGGAAGAGTTTTCTAAAGAATGGTGCATTGAGTCTGTGAGTTGCTGGTGAGCACTACTTTTAAGTTTGGGGAGATTTGAGGATATCCATCCAGTGTATTCAGATAGGTTCCTCATATTTCAGTGACCCTGGGAGGGTTATGTGTGTCCTTAACAACGGTTCCGTTTCTCATGGCAAACAGCTTGTTTCTCAAGATACTGGGCAGGGGGAGGAGATGGACTTCTGTTATCCTAACTCGGTCTTCAAAGCATTTCAACAGAAAAGCAGATTGTGACTAGATTTAAAATGGAATGAACAAATTGAGCTCTAATTTTATAAACTGCAAGCCAATTGAGTCCCTGCTCTAGATCCTGTCTTTTTTGGTTACACTAAATGACCTCTTCTAGGCGAACAGGCACATTTTTAGGATAACAAAATATAGACGAGATGACAGCTGGACAACAAGGCCTTTACCTTTCGTGCAGAATTCCTGCCGTAGGTCTTGGCGACTTACTAGCGGCTTCTGTCGTTCTACACCAGGAAAATCCACACAAGTGATCAGAGACAACTGGAGTCCCATGTCCCCATTAACAGTTCGGAATGCCCATCTCCATGCGATTCCCTTACACGGTTTGACACATCGTCAACCTGAAAAAAGATGAAAAGTCAATAATAATAATTGAATAGTCATGGTAGGGTGAAGGACCAAATAAATAAGACCAGATTTCTAACACTAATGACCAGCTTCCAGCAAATCACGTTCACAGCTTGATCCAGCCCCACCTGTCTCGGGCTGCCTGCTTCTTCTCTAATGAAGGCTACAGCCCGGCTGTTCAAGTCAGAGCGGCACCCACGCAGGGAGCTAAAATTAACAATTGTATTATGCACCGAAGATTACTCACTTCAATTTTAACCTTTTTTAGTGAAATCTTGCACTTTATATTAAAAAAAAGGAAGAAAAAAAAAAAAAGAACCAAGCCTGTGTGTTTGCCTCCGTGAGAATCCAGATCACCTATGAGCTAAAAGTCTTGCCTCCTTTTTAACCAAAGACTTTGTTTTAATTATAGGTTAATATAATATACTTTAATGCTGTTTCCGAGACTCCTTTCTTTAGGAAAGTTATCCTAATGAAGCGTATTTAAAATTTTTGATTTAATGGGCATTATCTATGAAAGTGGAAAAAGAAAAAGGGATAAAGGAAACTTTCACAACGGCATGGCTGAAAGAGCTCTCTCCTCCCCGCTTACAGTTTGGAAAGAATTCCTAATATTCTCCTTGGGCAGTGAACACGGTCTCCCCATTCCTCTCCTTCCCCATCAGGATTGCCTCCACCAGCTGGGCATTCTGCTTGACAGCACAGAAAGACTGTCAGAGGGATTCAACAGATTTGCAAACTTTGAGCCGGTTGAAAACAATCCACGCTATAATGTGCACTTTCGTTTTCTCACAACTCCTACAGGAGCAGCGGCAAAGACAGCTTGAATGCAAACACAGAGACGGATTCCTAATATTTGCCAAAACCAAGCGGTGTCTCTCCCTTCTGCTGCAACTCTGGGGCACACCTGCTAAATCCAGCGGCATGCACACCTCTCCCAGCACACACCCATCTTTGCAAATGCTAAATGCATCTCAGTTATTTTGTCTGAAGTTGAAAAACACTCCCTGCCTCACCCTCGCTGCCCCCCTCCCAAGTTTAAATGAGCACAGCCGGCTCCTCGACGGATTTTGCTGTGGCTATATTAACAACATATTGGATTACAACACCATTTGTTGTGCAAGGGAGAAACAACTGTTGAAAATGCGATCACGAAGACAGTCGATAATTTCTAGCCTTATTCATGTGTCATCAGAATGGCCAGTTTGGCTTTACAACACGTTTCTTTGGTTGTTAGACATTATATAGCTATCTACGAGAGCCAAGCGAACATGCATTGAGGACAAAAATGGATCGTTAATCAACAGTCATTTTAATTTTCCAATTTTGACCAGTTTCACCATGGCTACTACGACTAACACTCAATATTAACCAGAAGTCAGCATGTCTTAAAATTAGGATCTATTTAAGTAAGCAGCCTATCATCTAATACGTCTCAGAATAGGCACCAGTGATGGATGGAATTACCACATGCTTTTTGGGTTCTGTTTTCCTTTTCCCAAAGAAAATGAAGTTATCAAGGATCACCGCAATCTTTTTGTCTTCTGTGCTCTGTTCCTCATACTTGTACAGTGGCATTTAATCCAGCAGGTGAAGAGCAAATGCAGTTTTCGAATCTAAGCCTTCGATGTGTTATTCCAGCCCCAGTAGGTGGATGCAAGATATAATTCTTTCCATGAAGAAAAAGGAAGAACAAACTGATATTCACGTAACCAACCCAAAGCGTGAACAGCCTAGATACATGTGTGTGCGTAATTACCGGGACACGTTTTGAAATAGCACTGAGCTCTAAAGTCAGCGAGGTATTTTATTCTTGCATGCCTGAATCATAAAGTCATCTTCCACCGAGATAAAAGGGAATACGGGCATATGGGAATGAGCAGAGAGGAACATATGGATCACAAATATTTTTGTAACTGATTAAAATTGTTCTCTTTGCTAAGAAAGCCGTGCCAGGGAATCAACACTACTCTAGCTTTCTGTCCGCCAAACTACCTGACTCTTGCACTGCTATTTAATCTTTATCTGTTCAAATTTTTCCCATTTTCACAAAAAAAGCAAAACTATTTTTGACAAATATCTTTTGTCTAGCATTTGATTAATGGAGATGCTGGCCAACTTTCAACTGTTAGAGTGGAAGGGTGGAAGGAGCAAAAGGAGACCCTATACAAAGGAACAAAATAAAATTACTATAGTTCTTTCAGTGGTAACAATATTGTAACCATAACTTAAGGGATAGTGTGTAGCAAAGGCAGTCAATTGCTCGCAAAACAAGCTATAGGAAATTGATCAACAGGGCTGTCAACTGTTTTCCATGAGGAAAATCACTACGACTTCTCATTATATTTAGGTTGTGCCTTCTTGAGCTTACTTCACAGTTGAAAACAATAGCAATTGTGGGGTGGTGGGATGAGAAAGCCAGGGAAAGGGGAGCAAGGCGCAACCACTGGACGGGCACTTGGAGAAAGCTCAGGATTAGATTCAAATTCCAGGAGTGATTTAGCTCTCAGGGGATATCTCAAATGGGAAATTAAAGTTGAATTCTATTAGCAAATTGGGAAGGTAGCTTTATTAGTCACTTTCCTCATAACCCTTTTACTAAAAACTAACACAGAATGATAAGATTACTTATCCCAAATCAATACAGCTAACGTATGATGAAATGACCCAATCAACATTTATTTGAACGATTGAAATGTTTCCCCCCTAATGTATTGCTCTTTCTTTCTTTCTTTCTTTCTTCCTTTCTAACTAGTCAAAGTTCTGCAAATGTATGCCACTTACAAATTGTAGGAATGTTATTGATTTGTCAATGGACTGGGTGGGTTTTTGAAAACTGTGACACCTTAGAAACTAAAGGCACATCCTATTATCAAAACAGTTATTCTGTTAATGCTTAAAAATATTCTGAGTATGTAAAATTAAGTTTAAAGAGTAAAAAATAATGTAATTGGAGTATGATCCTTTCAGGAATGAGATCAATCATGAGATGAACAGACTGTACAGACTAGCATCTTCCCAGGGCAACAAAACATCACATTTTCACATAAGTTTAATTTCCCAAAGAAAATTTTCTTCTTCAATACAAGAAAAGGTCAACCAGGTGCTGTACCCTCTAATTAAGCTCTTTTGGTCAACCCAATGTACAGGCATTTTGTAAGATTCTTGAGTTACCCTAGCAAATGCCAAAATAACTAGACAACTGTTTTGAAAGAAGAACCTAGGGGGATATTTAAGAAAAGAAATTTTCATACTAGGGGCAGAAACATTTTGCATGAATATTCTTATTTGAGTTTTAGGAGCTAGGTAGCTTATAAACATGTAGCATATCATATGTAGAATATCACTTTTTCTTCTTTAGCAAGTGTAATAAACTAGACACAAACATAATTTAGATCAACATTTAGCAGAATCCCAGTAATGGAAATAACTGATGTCACAGTTTTGTTCATAAAAACAGCCCCACAATAATCACAAGCACCTTTAAAACAAGAGAATTCTGAGCTCAGTGAAAACAGCCAACAGAAAAAAGCCAAGTTTCCATTCCTCGTTTTTATAGCAAGTCTTTTAGAACCTCTCTGCTCTGTGAAAGGATGTTCTACCTTGTGACATGATATTCAAGTCAACTAATATAATGTCAACAAAACACTTCTTTTTCTAATTATACAAAATAAAAGTTGAATACCTCTAATGGATCCACATGAGAAATTTTAAAGATGGATTATGTAATTTTATCTTCACCATCCCCTTTGTGATTTTTCATGAAGTGGAAAAGGAAGATGACTTTTGCTTTTATAATTCTTAGATGTTTCCTCAGTGTATCTCAGAGTTAGGAAACATAAACTTGGGAAAAGTGTCTAATACACTGGATCCCAGAATAAGCTATTTGGATATCCCCATAGCATGAAGTAATTGATGAAAGTAATGACATGAAATGTTGCTGGGGTTGAGAGAAGATCTTACATTTAGGTTCTAAAAAAACAGGTTACATCACTTGGAATTTTTAGCTTAGACAAGAGGACACTTAGAAAGGACATCATAGCTATTTTCAAATGCTTAAATGAATAAAAATTCAGAGAAAGAGAAATTAGCTTTGGTCTTTCTCCAAAATTTAGAACTAAGGAAAAAAAAAAAAAAAAAGAACCTCTCTTTTTAAACATAGAACCACCATATGATCCAGTACAGTACTTCCAACTCCTAGATGTATATCCAAAAGGATTGAAAGCAGGGACTTGAACAGATATTTGTATACCTGTTTTCATGGCAAAACTATACATAACAGCCAAAAGGTTAAAAACAACCCAAGTGTCTATCAACAGGTGAATGGATGAACAGAATGCACTACACACATGGGGGATAGAGGGAGATATTACTCAGCCTTAGAAAGGAACAGAATCCAGATACAAGCTACAACATGGATGGACTATGAAAATATTATGAGACAGATGCAGAACAAATATTGTATGCTTCTACTTATTTGAAGTACCTAGAATAGGGCAGGCCATAAAAACCAAGTAGATGTTTCCAGGGGTTGTAGGTAAGGAATAAAGAAGTTGTTATTTAATTGGTACAGACGTTTTTTGGGGAATGATGAAAAAGTTAGGGGCATAGATGTGATGATGGTTATTCAACACTGTAAATGTATTTAATGCCACTGAATTGTACATTAAGGAAAGACTAAAGTGAGAAATATCATATTATGTATATTTTATCACAATAAAAAAGAACCTACAAAAACTTTTTCTCCCTGAATATGATATAAATCACAAGGAAACAAATTAATATACATACAAAGAGATTAAAGGCAGAAAATGGTAGTACAAGAGGAGGGACAGTCATTCTATTTTACAAATTTCCTCTGATATATCAGTAACATGTACATGTAAAGACAAGTTCTGTGGAAATAACTTGCCCAGGTTTGTACTGGACTCATACAGATACCCCGTAAATGGAACCATCATCATTCTTATCATCATGTTAGCAGTCTTGTCTTTGGCAAGATAAGCTTTGCTATTCAATTTATTTTATCCAATGTGGACGTATTCAAGAATAGAGAAGTTAGGGTGTGTCATTCAGAGAACTTACCACTACACCTCTACCAGAATCAATGTGTGTGTGG